AGATGTGAATAAGTATATATCAATGTATAACGATTCACAACAATAATAACCACTAAACTTCTAAGCTCATTATCATTAATCTACACATTGATCTCCAATAATATATAATATATCAATGTATAGCTCAAGAATAATAACGCTACTATTATCACGGCTTACAAGTAATAATTTCAACAATACAGTTAACCATAGCATCAACATAGAACAAATAGATCATTAGTTTACAAATTGCGATAATCAATTTTTTCTGTCACCATCGGTACTACAAACAAGTATCAATATTGCATATAGGCCTAAAGACAATTTTGCTTGCAAGATTATCAATTAGGCCTATCCCTCACATTAAAAATTTACAATCAACACTTCAAGGCAATGCAATAATAACTGGTTATAACAATAACAATAATAATAATAATAATACTAATAAACAAATATAAGAATAATATTTAGCGCTTATAACGTGGCTAACACGAACACAGCTCTTATAACGTAGCTAACATGAACCCAGTACTTATAACGTGGCTAACACGATCTCTGCTCTTATAACGTGGCTAACACGAACACAGCTCTTATAACGTGGCTAACACGAACCCAGCACTTCTAACGTGGCTAACACGAACACAGCACTTCTAACGTGGCTAACACGAACACAGCACTTATAACGTGGCTAACACAACTCAGATGTACAAAAAAACCTCATAATAATTTAATAAGTTTAGCACCCGAGTTTGAGAAGTGGCCAAATCGGAAAGAGCAATTGGTCTGTCCTTCCAATCTTCCTCCCGTTCTTCTGACCATTTAAGATCTACAACATAATACAATAATACATGACATAACAAAGAATCTACAATCCCATAATGTTTCGAAGCTATAAAGTTACATTTTATATTACTCACAAGCAAGGGTAAGTACAGTAACAATCAATATACTTGCACATTTAATTATTAAAAACCAAAAACAAATACATGAAAACTCACGGTCAGGATCTTATGCCCACTTCGTGTTGGTTTTGGGTCTGTCCTGTAACATCGTCACACCAGTACGTGAAACCGAGCCACAGTACCCGATATACCAAACAACGCACGGAAATATACGGCACAGCATACAAGACACAAGGCATTACCCAGCCAATCCCGCACGCAGCCGTTCCACTCAACAAAACAAGGGGTCAAAAACACTTTCACCCCAACGCTTCACTCAAATACCGTTGCGCACCTGAGCCATGCTTTATTATTTAAATAACCACACATGA